AATTATAAAACAGCCATGGTCGTTAAATAGGGGCTGATTTGTTGTATGTGGATTTACATTAATCATTTTAAAACATTTATATTGCTTAAAAATAATGATTAATTAACTAAAATTATAACTAATTATTGCTTAGTAATTAACCACATTAATTAAATCACTGTCATTATAATTAAACATATATTTTAAACCAATAATAAAATTAAAATTTCCTGCTCTTCAATCCGTTGGTAACTTATATAACTCATATTAGTACATGGTCTTATATTAAAATGTACACGTTACAGTTTTTAAAGCGTGACTACTTTTAATCATAATCAACTTTTAATACGTGTCTCAGTGAGGGGTAAAAACTTAAACATTTAATCCTGATGGCGCAATTTTCATAATGAAAGTACCAACATTATTTTCATATAAATAGCAGCGTAAAATTAATCAAACTTAACAAACAAACTTCAACTATTAAATAACTTACCAAGTTAAACTAATTGTTAAATAATTAATCAACATGTTGATGAAATTAGCATTATTGACCGTGGTGGTTTGCGCCGTTCAGGGCAATACCGTTAACCGATTCCTGGCCACCATTGGCACCGGTGCTAACGATGCGAACGCATGCCTGACCACCCTTTTCACGGGCCCCTGTCAACGGGAAATCAAGCCAACTGAACAGGAGCCATACTATTGCTGCGTGTTGTGGGATGAGCTAGATTGTTTCAAAGCCAACTACAAGGTAAACTTTTTAAATTTAATTAATAATTATTATCACCCTATTATAATTAATATTTAATTTACAATTTAATTATGTTACATAATATACATTATATAGACCGCCTGTACCGCAGCCGATGCCGCAGATCTCGAGAAAGTCTGGAATAACATTCAGCTGACAATTTCGGGCACAATTTACAGCGAGACCTCGTGTACTACTGATCACTATGGCGTTGATGTGAGCAGGGACGTTTGTAAAATCACTGTCTAAATGTACTATTGTAAATAAATCATTTTTATCAACAATAAAATTAATTGACTATTTTTAAAATTATTATTTGAATGTTTATTTAATACACTTGCACTTTATATATTAGTTTATTAGTAGCTTATTATTATCAGTGATAATTTATCACCGTGATTGTTTGGTTTATAATGTTATATATCAGGTCAACATTACATATAGAGTTTACATTTTAATCAATGAGTAAATATTTATATCTAACCGATAATAAATTGTTTGAAAAGTATTAAGAATTGTTTAATTTTACAAATGTAAATGTCTTATAACAAAGAAAATCAGTGATGATAAAATATGTTGTATATAACCACGGTGGCTTAATAGGGGGTTTATTATGCATTGTGTTTTATATCAAATATATTGCTATGCAATTTTATATTAACTCAATTTATATTGTCTAAGTAATTATAATTCTTTTACAACATTATATTAAACCACTTAAAATTAAATTTTAACAATAAAAACAATAATGTTTTGATAATATCCCAATTAGTTATTTAAGCAATTTAAAATTATACATTTCATTAAACTAAATTGTGTACATTACAGTTTAAGGGTTATTGCCCGTGATTATTATCAAACATAAATAAGTTTCTCTATACGGGTAAAATTAAAAGTGTTTAATTTTGATAGCTTAATTTTAATATGAACAGTAAACAAACATAATTTTTCATATAAATAGCAAAGCTAAAACTCACAATAACACATCAACAACAAGAATCAACTTTTATATAATTTACCAAGTTATGCAATTATTAATTAACTAGTCAACATGTTGATAAAATTGGCATTATTAACCGTGGTGATATGCGCCGTTCAGGGCAACACTTTAAACCGATTCATAATAATAATATTTTTATTCACCATATTACCATGTTATGTTATGTTAAATATGTTGCTTAGGCCGTCTGTACCGCAGCCGATGCTGCAGAGCTCGAGTAACTATGGATTAACATTGAGTGGACAATTGCCGGCCAGGTTTACAGCGAGCCCTCGTGTACTACCGTCTAGTATGCCTTTGATGTAAGCTGGGTTGTTTGAAAATTCACTGTTTAAATGTGATAGTGTAAATATATAATTTTTATCAATTATAAACTTAATTGACTATTGCACAATTGTTAGTATATCATTATAGTCAATAAAATATAATTTAAAATATATAATAAAACATAATGTATTGTGATTATGAAGTGTATGCCATATTACTCCAATTGTATTAAGCATTTTTAAAAATACAAATAATTAAAACAATTATTAAGCACAAATTTTGTTATTTGGGCAATTCGTTATCAAACATAAATAAGTGTCTTAGTACGGAGTAAAATTAAAAACGTTTAATTGCAATAGCTTAATTTTAATATTAGTACAAACATAATTTGTCATATAAATAGCATAGATAAAACTAACAATAACAAACTTAAACTTTTATATTATAAATATTTACCAAGTGAAGTTAATATCAAATAATCAGTCAACATGTTGACGAAATTGGCACTATTGACCGTGGTGATATGCGTCGTTCAAGGCAACACTCTAAACCGATTCATAATAATAATATTTTTATTCACAATATTACCATGTTATGTTATGTTAAACATGTTGTTTAGGCCAACTGTACGGCAGTCGATGCCGCAGAGCTCGAGTAACTATGACATAACATTCAGAAGACAATCGCCGGTTAGGTTTACTGCGAGCCTTAATTTAATAAATTACTTAATTATTTATTATATAGGTAAAAGTGAGTGGCACAAAACATTATAAAACTTTATTACTTACATCAAATATTATTACAATGTTTAATTAATACAATTGTACTAGTATATATTAGTTTATTAGTATTTAATTTTTATTACCATGATTGTTTGGATTACAATTAAATAGCAAGAAAGTTGTACAGGTCAACATTAATCAATAGAGTTTATATGTTAATCAATAAGCTATTAATATCTAATTGATAATGATAAATTAAAAAATATAATTAATAATTGTTTGCATTATTTAATGTGACTGTCTTATAACAAAGAAAACCAATTATGATAGGTTATTGTAAAATGTGGTATAACCATGGTGGCTTAATAAGTGGTTTATTATAAATTGTGTTTTATATAAAATATTTGGCTATAATAGTTATATAATATTAACTTAATTTATAATGTCCAAGTAATTATAATAGTTATTTTGCCACATTATAGTTATTTAATTACTTAAAAATAAATTTTAACAAATAAAATAACGAATTCAACGTATAATCCAAATGTTTATTAATAAGATTTAAAATACTATATATTGTTATAATAAATTGCATACAGTACAGTTTTTAAGGTTAATTGCCTTTAATTATTATCAGACATAAATACGTGTCTCAGTGTGGGGTAAAATATAAAATAGTTAATTATGATAGCTCAATTTAAATATGATCAGTACTTTTATATAATTTGTCATATAAATAGCAGGTCTAAAACTTATAATACAACAATAACAACAACAATAAACTATTAAATAATTTACCAAATTAAGCTACTATTAAATAACCAAACAAAATGTTGATAAAATTGTCACTATTGACCATGGTGGTTTGTGCCGTTCAGGGCAATACCGTTAACCGATTGCTGGCCAGCATTGGCACCGATGCTAACGATGCCAACACATGTTTGGCCACATTATTCACCGGTCACTGTCAACGGGAAATCAAGCCCAGCCAACAGGAGGCCTACTATTGTTGCGTATTGTGGGATCTGCTAGATTGTTGCAAAGCAAACTACAAGGTAAATTCTAATTATAGCAATATAACTATCAAATTACTTGCTATTACGAAGATTTAAATTAAATAAGTTTGTTGTGAGTACAATTATCTGTTAAATTTTTAATTAATTTATATGCAGTATTATAAATACAATTCTTTATAAGTATAATTATGATTTAAATGTTTTCTTAATTAATAGTACAGTTATATACACAATGATAATTTTTGTTATTCACAATTTAACCATGTTATGTAATGTTATTTATATTGTTTAGGCCGACTGTACGGCAGCCGATGCCGCAAATCTCGAGAAAGTCTGGGATAACATTCAGCTGACAATCGCCGGTCAGGTTTACAGCGAGCCCTCGTGTACTGCCGATCACTATGGCGTCGATGTGAGCAGGGACGTTTGCAAAGTTACTGTGTAAATGTAGCATTGTTAATAAAAATTCTATATTTTCTATTTTCAAAATAAAATTAATTGACAATTAAGTAAACAGAATAATTTGTTGTATTTTGATTTGATAAATACTTAAAAATTATATAAATTAGATTCTATGCAAACATTGTTTTAAATATTTTTTATTAATAAATAAATTTTAGGCATATAAACTGTAATTTATATTACTTTACATATTTATAGTAAATGACAGATTTAAAAATAAGTATAATTTGGAAGAGTCAACAACTTCGTAATAATGCTTGGTACTATACAACACTTTCAATACAACAATGCACATTTGTATTTTAAAAAAAAAATTAATTAAAAAACGTTCTAATTACATTATAATGTATTTTCTAATGTTAAACTTGATTTTGTAAAAATGTACAAAATAAACAAAAAACAATTATGCAATTAATGTGTTTTGTCGACATTTTAGCATTTATGGACCATGTATTTTGTTTAAATTTGTTAATATAAAAATTATATTTAATTTTATATTAAATTATATAAATTGAAATATTATTTAAAAAACAGTATTAGTGTGAAATATTAATACAGAAAATTGTGTTATAGTATATGCAGAATATTGAAATTTATGACAGAAGTTATTATAGGTAAAGTAAACGTCAAACTTTATATTGAAGTAAACTAAAATACACATTATTTGATTTATATAAATTTTATTAATTTGTTATACATTATTAACTTATAACCAAAAATGTGATACAAATAATACATCAATGTTTACAACAAGATTTCAACTAATAATTAAATCTCCCAATTTTGTGATGGTTCCTATTTATTCATTATGTGATTATGTTATAATAAGTAATAAACTGTAAGCTAGTTAATTTACAGTGAAATATATTGACTTAAATGACTTAATTTAGTTCATTTGGAGACACAGTATATTACTCTATGTATTACACACATTTAACACCGTTTTTTACATGTCAAATGACTAAATTAAATTTAATTGGTATAGATTCAACATGATATATATATTTTTATTAAATATTAATATTTTTTGTTAAATTCTTATTTAAAAATATATTATTTGTTTATTTAAATTGTAATTAACAAAATTAGTTATTAATAAATTACATTTAATGTAACATATGTATATTTATTTTAATTACAGTTTTTATACTTAAAAATAGTTTTATTATTAAATATTATAAAATTATAATTTTATAAATTGTTATAATGTTAGAAATAAAATAATATGAACGTCATATAAATGTTTGTAAATAAGTTAATCAGTCAAGAAGCTAAGGTTAGACACAAAACACAATGAATTATCAACCTTAAATACTATTTTCTATATTTATTATAAACAAGCTAATATAAATTATTAGTACAGTACAACTTAATCTTTATTACTGTGGTTGTTTGTAGTAAAATGTCAAACAGCAGGTCAACTTTATACCAAATTTATATGCGAGACAATGTATGGATTTTTATTTAATCAACAGAGATAAATATAATTGATAGGAAATGTTCATTGTTAAATAGTAAATGCAACTTTCTTTAAACAAAAAAGGTTTATTATAATCAGATATCATCTAAAATGTGATATAACCAGGGTGGCAATTAGGGGTCGATTTTGGTTTGAGTATAATATTAAATAAACTGTTTTAAAAATTTTTATATTAAACATTAATCACTACACATAATGTTTGCATAATTAGTTAATTAAATATAATAACTAATTAACCACACTATGTTACACAATTTTGAAATAAATAAAAAGTATATATTTTTAATAATATTGAAATTAAAAGACGATGAACTCAAAACCAATACTTATCCAGGATAACTTATCCGTATGACTTTTATAGATTATGAATGTAATTTAATGTTGTAAGTTACAGTTTCTTACGCGTGATTGCCCGTAATCTTAATCAAATAAAAATACTTGCTCAGTGTGTGGTCAAATTAAAATTATTTATTCCTGATGGCGCAATTGCAATATATAAAATACCATCATTATTTTAATATAAATAGCAGCGTAAAACTCAATTGAACATTACAACAAACTTCAACTATTAAATAACTTACCAAGTTAACCTACTATTAAATAACCAGTCAACATGTTGATGAAATTAGCACTATTGACCATGGTGGTGTGCGTCGTTCAGGGCAATACCGTTAACCGATTGCTGGCCAGTATTGGCACCGATGCTAACGATGCGAACACATGTCTGTTAACACTGTTCACCGGTCACTGTCAACGGGAAATCAAGCCCAGCCAACACGAGGCCTACTATTGTTGCGTATTGTGGGATGAGCTAGATTGTTTCAAAGCCCACTACAAGGTAAATTTTATTACACCAACATAATTATAAAATAGATGTCAAATTAATTGCTAATATTTGATATTTGTAATACTAGTATTTTAATTTAACAATTTATGAGTATAATTAATTATTTTTTAATATATAATTTATTTATTTATGTTATTTTGATCAGTTTAAATTTATTATTAATTAATAGTGCAGTCGACATAGTAATTATTGTAATTCACAATTTAACCTTGGTTACATTAATTATGTTGTTTAGGCCGATTGTACTCCAGCTGATGCCGCAGAGCTCGAGAAAGACTGGGCTACTATTCAGCTGACAATCGCCGGTCAGGTTTACAGCGAGCCCTCGTGTACTGCCGATCACTATGGCGTCGATGTGAGCAGGGACGTTTGCAAAGTTACTGTTTAAATGTAGTATTGTAAATAACAATTTATATTTGATTTTTTCAGAATAAAGTTAATTAATGTTTATTAAAATTGTTATTAAAACTTGATTACTATAATTTTATAATGCATATTTTAAATATGTTTTAAAATAAAATAACATAGTTTTAAGTTTAAACCAAACAATTTTTAAAATTACTATAATAAAATAAACTAGTGATGAACTATAATGAACTAAATTAATCATTCAATCTTCAGTTATTTACTGTATTAAAAATATAATGAATCTTTGGGCTAATTAAAGGATTTTAAATAATATAAAGTCTGGGAACGAAATGATTAGTAAGTATTCAGTGATACTTTTATGTAAAAACTTTGATTGTCATAAATGAAAAAGTATTTTATTTAACTTGCAACTTTTGTAATGCACTAATTGTCTGATTTGATAAACTGCAAACAATATAAAGTTAATAATTTTATAAATACTAGAAACTTCATTATTGGATATATACAAACCTATGAGCCAACCACATTATGAGCAGGATCATTTGCAAAATCTAAAGTTATATATAAGTTATCTAAACGATAATGATAACTAAAATTTATTTAAATAATTAATTGTTAAATACTTATTTACTGACTACTTATTTAAGTGTAAGTATACAGTTATTTAACAATGCAGTAGATTCAACCTAGGTTGATTACAATCTCATTAGTTGCTAGTTACATTTAATTTTATAAGATGAAACATTTTTAACAACTACAAAATATAAAATGACATATTTTAAACAAATGTATTTTATTTTAAGTTATTTATATAGTTTTAAATTTTGTAAAATTTATTAAATTATATAAACTGTATTTATTTTTCTTTAAATATTTAATCTTATTTAATTAGAAAATATAATAAACAATTTTGGATTAATGGCCAACGAGTTACAATAGCAAAATTGTTTGATATTTCTATTATTTAAAAATATTTGATGCTAGTTAAATATATTTTGTGTTATCTAATAAATGTAAGAATTATATTGAATGTTGAATAAATTTATATAACTTTGTAATCATCAAAGAGTGAACTTTACATATTTTTACATATTTTTGCGGTACAAGATATCCAACTCTAATTTAAAGATCTATCCGAATCATATAATAAGGAGTATTTTAAGACCTATTTGTTATCACATAAATACATATAATTACATATTTTGAATGTTAGCACATATTTTCACGTATTTGAGAAAAATCGGCAAAATATATAAAAATTGTATGCTTTTTCAAAAATTTTATCAAATAATTGATTCAAAAATGTTATTTTTTGCAAAAAGTCCAAATATTTTATTTTTTCATAATTCAAACATATCTTTCTATAAAAATCATTACTAGTTCAAATAAACTAAATTAGACGAAGTACAGATGACATTTATAAGTAAAGTAGAGTAGGCATTTATAAGTAAATCTGAATATTTTAAATGAATACCACCAGGAAAACTGTATAAATCGTGAATTATTTGTGTGTTCCATCATAATTTGTGCATAATACAATATTTTAACTCTTTTTATACCAAAAGATCAATAATTTTGGTAATTTTATTACCACATATAATAACATATTTTTCGAGTTATTACTACATATTATATTACATATTTTTGGGCTTATTACTACATATATGTTCACTCTTTAGTAATCATATAGAAATACAGATTTAATCTGAAGTAATAAACTGTAACGCATTTTATATGTATACTTTATATATGTAATAGGGCAGTCAAGTGATTCCCGCCGTGCGGTAATTGATGCCATTTTTTAATTAAATGAGATAATTTAATTCTGTAAAATGGATTTAAAAGTCTCATATACTGCGCATCTGTAGCATACCTTATTATAAACATAGGTCACGTGGTTTACTTCATAATATAAACATTCGGAATGGTCATATTACAGGTCAAACTATAAGAAATATAGAGATGGTCTCAATGTATAATTTGTAAAGGGATAACACATGAATAAAATAAACAAAGAATTATCAAAATTGGATTGAAGGTTTTTACATAGCAGCTTAGCAAACTAGGCCAATTTTGCATGTTAACCTATGGAGATGAAAAAAATATTGTATATTAATATAATTAATTATATTTTTGAAAACTA